CATGGGGGGGGGGGAGATACAAATATGTAGTGTAGATTTTTTTTAATCCAGCAGGTTTTAACCTTCCAGAGGTATGATTCTCCTCGAAAACCAGGTGTGACCCTCCCAAGATCTTATTTTAGTCAAAAATCTGTTGCTTTTAAAAACTAGAAATAAGTCCTTCCTTCTCCAAACTTCAAGTAAACTTATTGTCACTTTTGATGTCACATATTGTCACTTTTGCTGGCATGTATAGGGTTGGGGTCTTCACCCATAAGGCTCTTGGGATGATGTGCAATCATTTCGAACATGGCAGCTGAAACCCTTAAAATCCAAGACTGAACAGAAGAGGGATGTCTGTAATTCTCAGTGGAAGCTCGTTGATTAGAAGGCTAGCCTAACTTCTCAGTGGAAAAAGAGGGGAGTTGTTATGGAAAAGACCCCATCCTGCATTATCACCAGCTGAATGCCTCATGGTAGTAGAACATATACGTAGGAGAGTCTTGGGTAAAGACTGTAAGCTGTAGTCAAGTTCTTATGGGAGGAAATGGTGTTTCTCATGTCCTTGCTCCAGTATGGACATCCATCTACTGTAAGACCAGTATAATGGTCTATAACTACATATTTGTGCCAGCTGTCACTTCAAAACATTCTTCAAGGGCTACCCCATATTGTGAGATACTGGCCAAAAAAGCCTGTTTATTAAGTCAATGCAAAAGGCACAACTTTTGTAGGCGATGCATAGATTTCCTTATCAACGTACTTTACTTAGGAAAGACAAAGGTCCATTCATCACTGTCTTTTGAATAAAAGAGGTTTATTGATTACAGATGTTTCTATAATAATTCATAAGTATCTTCTTCAGGTTCATCAAACATCAATAACAATCTTCTATATTATCTTACAGGTTACTATTCACTCCTCAGACTAATCACTCCTCCGATTCCCAACCTCTCTCTCTCTCTTTCTCTCTCTCCCTCCCCACCTTCAAACTCAAATCCAGACTGCCAACTAAACTCCTCCTCTCTGGCTCCGCCTTTTAACATCTCTGGTGGCCCCACCTCTCAACCATATCAGCCTAAAACATGAATAATGCATGACTTATTTAACATAAAAAGGGTGAACACCACACTGTTCTTTCCAGTTTTACAAGTTGCCCTTTAACACTGTCTGTTGCTGTTTATTTTGTGAAAGTCTGTCTGCAGTACCCATTTTGATTACTTCAGTACCAGTTAACTGGCTCCTTTCGAAGGCACTCTGGGATTTGTAGTGCAGTTCTCTGCTAGAGCTCTAGTCCACTCCCTTGAAATACATGGGGACAGTCAAAGTGCTTTCCCAAATGCAGAGTCTCAGGTTTCTGCAGGATGGGGCTATGATAGTTTCAGTGATATGAAATGGATAGAATTGTATAACATTGTACCTGTATAACAGGTACCCATGAAGCCTCTCACATAACAACATTATTGATCTGCTTGTATAAATGCTATCAGTCTTGCCTTCAGCCTACAGACAAGAAGCCATTCTTGGGATTGATGCTCCAGATTCAAGTTCTAACTGTATTGAGCAGACAACAGAATGGAGTGCGTGCTCCACAACTTGCGGAATGGGCGTCTCCACTCGGGTCACCAACAAGAACCCAACGTGTGAGATGGTGAAACAGACCAGGCTCTGTGAAGTGCGGCCATGTGAAAAGAGTCAGCTTCCAGATAAGGTATGATTGGGTGGGCAAGTTCTTTGCATGGTGATGTTTCTATGAACATGGTCATCTAAGAATGCTTTAGAAGCATAGGTGAGAGAGTGCCCATTCTTTCATGCATATTAGGTGACAATCAACAATGCCTTCGGAAGGACTGTTCCATGAGATCTGATTGTTTTAAACCAGCGCTGCTCACTGCCACATTTTGTAAATTTTCTTTCTTTGTCTGGTAGTTGGACATTGGGGAAGTAAACACAAGCCTGAGCTGCAGGTCTGATTGTTCAGTCACAGTTTTGAAGGAATGACATTCCTGGAGGGAAGGCACACCTTTCATATAGAAAACCACTCCCATGGGTGCATAGGCATGTGTAACTGGGCTGACAGAAGCAGATTTCCTTGACTCATCTTTTCCATGGCCACCACCCACTGCCCTCTGAAAACACAAGGCAGGGAGTAATCAAAGAACCTTGGCCGGTGAGGATAGCATAAAGCAGGGGTGGGCAATTAATTTCTATAAGGAGCCACATGAAAAATCTGAACTGTATTTGGGGGCTGAACCAACTTTACTTAAAAATAAAATGAAACCCATTGGGTGAGGCCCTGTGGTGAACAAACTACTTTTTAGGGAGTTAACTATGTGAGCGTTGTAATTTGTTCACCACAGGGGGGGAAGAGGGGGGAAAAACCCAACACTGAGCTAACTCACCTGTCCTCCATTCCCCCATGGCCTTCCTCTCCGACTGTCTTCTATCTTGCGCAGGTGATGTGATGTGTCATCACGTTGCCTGCGCAAGGATTGATTCCGGCCTCTTGAGCCGCAGGCTCCACAGCTTGCAGCTCAAGAGTAATAGTCAAAACTCGCGAGATCCCAGCATTGGATCTTGTGTGTTTTGCTTACTGCTGTGCTGGGTGACCGGAGCCCTGGCTCACTCAGTGGCGACCGGCGGGCCGTACAGGAGCGGCTTGTGGGCCATACTTTGCCCAGGTACTTTACCAGACGGTAAAACACCAGAAGGTATTGTGCACAGAACCTTCCACTGGAGGGAGCACATTCTGATATCAACCTACAGCTTTCCCCTCACATTCTTATTTGACAGCCTCATTTTAGGGAGAATTTTTAGTGTTGGACATTTGGGGATCAGGAATCTTTCCCAAAATCCTACAAATTACTTGTCTGTTTCAGTAGGGGATGCTGTTTGATCATCTTGCCTCCTCAATGTGCAACTGGGGGTGGAGCAACTTACTAAAAAAGTGTCTTGTAGTTTATTAGCACATCATGGCAACGTTCTGTTAACTTGTACAACTGGAGTTAAGAGCCTGCTTTTTCCTTTCTTAGAAGGGAAAGAGGTGTGTCCGGACCAAGAAGTCTCCCACAGCTGTGCACCTGCAGTACAAGAACTGCACTAGCGTCCAGATGTATAAACCCCGTTATTGCGGCAGCTGCAATGATGGACGATGCTGCACGCCCCACACCACAAAAACCTTCCATGTTGATTTCCGTTGTCCTGAAGGTGACATCATCAAACATCCAGTGATGTCCATCTCAACATGCGTTTGTCATAGCAACTGTCCTCAGGATAATAATACTTTCTTTAGAAGGCTCAGCTGAACAAGAATGGGAAATTAATGACTTCTAAAGGGAAACCACATAAGGTATTTAAAAATGGCTTATAGGGAATTCATCGTCTGAAGCAGCAACATCCCACTGGGTAGTATTGTTGTGTTTAGTTCAAGTCTTTGACGGAGGAACATTGTATTTTGAGATAATTTCTGTTTGGTTTTGTAGGTGACCTGGTTTGGTTCCTGTGGAGTTCCTCGAAATCTTTGCTTGCTTCAAGCACTGTCATTCCATCTGCATATTACTATGGAGGAGGGAGCTGGGGGGGGGATGCAGTGTTTCAACATGTCTATCTTTAGTAGGACAAAGGTTTCCTAGAAATCGCAAGCACATAGAGTCCTGACTCTTCAGCTTCATGTACTAGCTTGTCCTGACTCTTGTTTCCACATTCTTCTTATTGAACAAATTGTTTGTAAACTTCATGAGCAAGATACTCTTACTGGATGTATCCTTGCACTTTTAACTACAGCCTGCAGCTGAGCACAGCATGTGTCAGCAGAGAAGTGACAGGCTCAGGTTCTTAATACTGATACAAAGCCAAGTTAGGACAACCGGGTGGTTCTTCCCATGGAAACCAAAGCCAGTTCCTGATATGGACAAACATTCTATGTCTTCCTTTGTGCAGATTATGAGTATAAAGGGGAAAAACATGGCTCCCTTTCTTTATTGCTCCTTGACAATCACTTCTCCCACATCACCCTTTCCCCTTGTGCTGCCCACCACCAGTCTAAGAGCTGATCCCAACAAACATACTGTACAACTTCACTGTCAGTTTCAGCCATCCTCTGTTGGTCCCTATGGTGTCTCCAAAGAAGTCACCATTGCCCTAAAGAAACCGGGGCAATAGCAGTCTTGAAAGATGGCTAAGAAACACGTCTAGTGTATTTGAAGTGTGTTATCTTCTAGAAAGACTCTTCTGCGGTCAGAAGAAGAATGGTTTGTGGTAGAGGAACATGTGATTCCTCTTATCCCATCCTACAGCTCATCCACACTGAATGCTGTTTTTTTTCCCCAATCACTCTAGGCATGTGCATTAATTTGTGGGTGTCCCCCATGTGCCCTGACAAAAAGAAAATTTCTAAAAGTAGGTCACATAGTCTGGGAGTTGCAGTGTTAAGTAGTCAATGCACTGAACTGGACTTGCATGAGTGTACCTGACAATAACATCGTACCCTCATGTGAATTTGCTTCCTAAAATAGCTGGACTAGAAGTATGAGTCTTGTAGATCTTAGTAAATGATATCTTGTTTGGCATTTGGTGATCAATGTCCTGATTTTTCTGCAATCAGATGTAATATTCCAGAGTAATCAGTGTGTGTATCATTCTGAAGCACATAGCCTGACTTTTTTTTTTTCTTGGTGAGAAAGCAAACACTGTAAATTTCTAAAGTTAAATCCACAGTTTATAGAAATGGCAATGTAAATAGAAAGTAGAGCTGCAACTGTATTTTCCTGTAAATGTTCAAATGTTACGGAATAAAATTTATCTTACCATGTGATATGAAGAGCCTCTCTATGCTACCCGTTCCTTACCGTGCAGGTTCTTAGTGGACCCAGTGAAGAGCTATAAGTTCTTGCTTGTCTCATCCTTTCCCTCAATAAAATGGGGAGGTCCTATTTGGCACTTTAAAGAGATTAAGCACCCAGGTGTTCTGTCCTTGCCTTGTGTATGTACTTTTGTTCTTAAAGAAGAGAAGTGTTAGTTTTGCACAAACTAAGGGCACCTTAATGAGAAAAAGAACATTCCTTATCTTGCATTTGGCACTTGGACGTGAGAATCCTGGGGCACCTTGAAGTTTCTTGTCAGGTAGAGACAGTCTAAAGTAACAAGAATAAAGAAACGAACAAATATTCTTTACCTTCTTGGTTCTGTGCAATCCTTTGGACTGCAGTGCATCATATATGGTATGATGTTGCCTCAGAGAGCTAACCAATCCAGCACACTACTATCTGTTCCATCAATGGAAAGATATGTGGTACTCTAGATTGGCAGTTCTCAAACTGGAGTCCCCAGATGTTCTTGGACTGCAATTCCCAAAAGCCTTCACCACTTGCTGTGGAGCTGCAGTCCAAGAACATCTTGGAGACTCCAGTTTGAGAACCACTGATCTAAATGGTTTGAACTTTATCTCCCAGATGCACTAGGTAAGTATGGTTCTCAATTGCCCATTCAAGACTAACCTCAAATAATTTGCATTACATTAGGGATAATTTGCAAGAATATATTCTTCCTGGGGATTGTAGAGGAGCTAACAGATGTCATAGTCCTTGCTATGTTCAGAAAGTCTTAAAGTTTCGTCCCTGCAAGTCCTGGCTCCACTAGACAAAGTGTCTGCCCTATTGGAGCAGAATAGGTATAAGGCAAGGATGGGGTGTGTGTAGCTCTCCAGATGTTGGACTGTACAGTGGGCCCTCGACTTACGAACTTAATCCGTTCCGGAAGTCTGTTCATAAGTTGAAACGTTTGTAAGTCGAAACCAAATTTCCCATAGGAAGGCATTGAAAATTAATTAATGCGTTCCTATGGGGGGGGGGAAAGGTCAGAAACTTAAAAATGAATAAAAGAAAGTCACTTACCAGGCCTTGGTAGCCCCCAAACTGCAGGAAAAAGAGCACCAAACAGCTAAAAGTCGACACCCAGCAGGAAGCCTGGCAACCATTTTGTGCTCTTCTCTACTCCTGCCCCCTCCTCTCCTTTCCTAACAGCTGATCGGCTGGCTGTGAAGAGGCTTCGGGAGGCTTGCTCAGCACCTAAAAAGGCGGGAATAAAGCTCCCCCCACTTTCAGAAGCCTCCCGGGGGCAAGGGAAAAGCAGTAATTTTTTATTTCCAGCTTTATTCCCCAGCCTTTTTAGGTGCCGAGTATGTTATTTTAAATCAGGGCAGTTTGTAAGTTGAATTGTTTGCAAGTAGGGCTGTCCGTAAGTTGAGGGTTGACTGTAATTCACAACACTTCATACTCCTGGCTATGCTGGCTAGGGCTGGTGAAAGTTGCAGTCCAACATCCAGGGCCACAGTTTTCCCTCACCTGACATAGACAGAAGCAATAGCCTCATAAAGGAAAGTAGCTACAAGAACAACCACATATCACAGTACCTCATCGTTGCCATGTTCCACCACAACCTGGTCCACATCAATTGTCTCAGCAGAAGCTTTTGGGAAGGACCAGTGAGAAATCAATCAAAACCTCAGGTGGTAACATTGTTTTTCAGTGTATTTAGCCTACGAGTGAAGCCACCAACAGCTTGAAGGACATTTTCAATCAAAGATTCCATACATTTATAGATACTGTATATAAATTAGAGTGGCCTGCTTTCTCTCAGTTCCAGAGTAAAAATTGCAGCTTTTGGGATGCAAGGTGACTTACATCGTTAAAATACAATATTTAAAACTAAAAACAATTATACAAATAGTAAAAAGGAACAAATACCACTCTGAGAAATGGTAAACAAAAGCAATACTAAAAACTCGATCAAAGCAGTAATGCATAACAACCAAGTTCAAAGTTCCAGTCAGGCAGTGAGTCACTGAGGTGACTGCCTGAAGAGAAAGATCTTCGCCTGCTTGTGAAAGGACAGCAAAGATGGGGCCAGCCTGACCTCTTGTAGGAGAGACTTCCAGAGTTTGGGAGCAGCAACAGGGAAGGCCTTCTTCTACATCAAATGCACCTGTGAAAGTGATGAGGCCAAGAGGAAGGCCTCTCCTGATTATCTTAACACTCAAGCAGGTGAAATAGTGAAAATATGTGCTGTCCTCTGAAGATGCCGGCCACAGAGACTGGCAAAACGTTAGGAAGAACAACCTTCAGAACATGGCCTAAGAGCCCGAAAAACCCACAACAACCAGTGAAAATATGTTTTAAAAATACTGTATGAATAGTATATCAAACAAACAAACAAAAACCCACAAGAAAGACAAATGTTGTGGTACCTGAAAAACTTAACTGGTATATTTAAATGTGAGCTCTCATGAATTAAGTCCACTTCCTCAGAGAGATTAGATTGGGCATCCTTCAGTCTCTAGAGACTATGGTAACGTGCTCTGAATAGAGGTCTTGGAACAGCGTCTAGTGTGGCTGAAAAGGCCAATTCGAGAGTGACCATCCCTTTCACACTGAACACAAATACAATCCATCCCCTGTCCAGCTCCCTGGTTTTTCTGGTTTTGGAACTGCCTCTTTGCCTCAGCTTGCTGGACAAGGGTCTCTTCAAATTGGGAGAGGCCATGATGCACTGTCTGCCTCCAGACAGGCTAACAGACTGAATAATTTCAGTTACCAGTCTATAAGCTAGCAGCAGCATTATCAACACAAGTGGTGAACTGTGTGGATAAATGTAGGATTCCACACTTGGCAATGACTTGGGAATCTTTGTTTGGTCATTTCAAATGCGTCCCTAGCACTCATATACACCCCACCCCAACTGTTTCTCTTTCAAGTCTGGTCTTATAGGGGTTATATTTTTCTAAAACGGTCACTTGCAGGTCACTCAGAGAGCGTCCAGGTAGATTGAAATGTTCTGAAACAGGTTTTTGTGTCTTTTCCTGCCTGGTGTCAGAGGCATGTCTGCTAATTCTTTTGTACAGAGATTGTTGTGTTTGTTCTATATAGAATGAAGAAGGCCATTGTTGGAAAAGGATGGCATAGATCACATTCGTAGAGAGCAAATAAATATGCCCCTGATGTTATGTGGGGCATTGTTGGGGCTTGTAATTGTATTGCCAAAGTAAGTGCAGGGACAGAGGTGACATCTGGTTTGTAGCAGGCTTGTGTTCCCATCATTATATCAATGTTGTGCAGTCTGTTGTGTGTCAGTAGTTACTTGAGGTTGGGGACGTTGTCTGTAAACAAATACAGGCTTTCCCCCGAGGACTTGGGAGAGTGAAATATTCTTGTCAAGAATGGATTGCAGATCATTTATGATACGTGTAATGGTCTCAGTTGTGACAACGGATGGCGCTCTGCCATTTTCTCTGCTGGGTTTGACTTCTAATAGGTTGCTTCTGGATAGTCATCTTGCCAAGTTAATTTATTTTTCAGCCATATTGGATGGGTAATGTAGTCTGAGAAATGCTTTCTGTAGATTCATGGTTTTGAGTTTCCATCTTGTGGAGCGAAGCAGATGCATTTATATTGAATGGCTTG